AAGGGTCCCAGGTTCTATTCTGGTCAAGGGCATGTATACTGGTTGTGGGCACATTCCCAGTAGGGGGTGTGCAGGAGGCAGCTGATCGATGTATCTCTCTCATCGATGTTTCTAACTCTCTATCCCTCTCTCTTCCTCTGTAAAAAAAATCAATAAAATACTATATATATTTTTAAAATATCTACTGCAATAGAGCTTTGCACATTTCTCCTGGATGCTTTTCTGATCTGCAAGGATGTCAGATCTGGGTCCCCACACAGGTTGGGCAGGAACCCATAAAGTCCTTGGTGAATGGGGCAAGGACTGTTTTCTCTATGTGCACACCCAGAGAAGCCACTTTGAACCTTTCTTCCTGTTGACACTACTCTCAACTGGGTGAAGCAACTTTTCTTTAAAAAAAAAAAAATGGACATACTTGTAGTCATATGCAGTTGTAAGAAATAATGCAGAAATAATGCACCCTTTTCTCAACTTTCCTAATTGTTAACTTTTGCAAAACTATAGTATAATATCATAGTCAGAATACTGACCTGGATACAAGTTGTACTTGTATTCGTTTGTGCTTGTTTGTGTGTGCATATATGTCTCTCTTTTATATATATATGTGTGTGTGTGTGTGTGTGTGTGTATAATGTTATCACCGCTTTTGTTCCTGTATCCACCATCGCAGCCAAGATACAGAACAGTTTCAACAGCACAAGGATCCCTCATGTTGCCCTTTAATAACCACACCCACTTTCCCTCCACACTCCCCATCTCCCTCCTCTGTTCCTAAAATATCATTTTCAAAATGTTACCTAAATGGATATATACCTATGCAATATGTAACCTTTGGGAGTTGGCTTTTCTCCTCACTCAGCCTAATTCATCTAAATTGTTGCATGTATCAATAGTCCCTTCCTTTTTATGGCTGAGCAGCATGCTATGCTACACATGTATCACAGTTTGTTTAACCACTCACAGGTTTAATGTCATCTGGGCTGATTCCAATTTTTGGCTATTCTAAATAAAGCTGCTATAAACATTCAAGTACAGATTTTTGTGTGTGAATGTAAGTTTTCATTTCTCTGGGATAAATGCCCAGGAGAGTAACTGTTGGGTCACATGGTAGTTGCAGGTTTAGTGTTTAGAGAAAATACCAAAAAACAAATTGTTTTTCAGAGCGACTATACACTATTTTACATTACACCGACAAAGCATGCATGATCCTGTTTCTTTACATCTTTATCAGCAATCAGTGTTGTCAGTTTTAAAAAATATTAGCTATTTTTATAGTGAAGCAATTAAGAAAAAAACTTACAATATAGTTCTTAGGAAAACAAATCTGCTTTTCCATAACAAAGAGAGACTATCTGGTTGACTCATTTGTAGGCCATCTCACCTTGTCTTTGAATAACTAAGATGCAAATGACTTTTATTGAGGTAAGTTTTCTCTGAGCCAGCTGGACTGCTCCAGGAGACCTAGACTCAAGAGAGACTGATATTTGCTCGTTGTATTGTTTAATTAAATGATCATTTATAAGTGTACAGGCAAAAGAGGGCCTGTTTAAAGTATGAGCTTCCTAGGTTATAATTCTACTGAAGCTTAATTTAATTGCATGTAAGGGAAGCACACTGTGATTGTAAATTTCACAGAGAAAATTGCAAAATGACTCGCAACCTCTTTTTATTATACACCGGGGACAGCTCTGGCCACAGGGTAGAAAATAATGACAAACAAAACAAAACAATTTGTGGGCATGACCTACTCTAATCCTGGAAGGTCTATCTAACCCTGTCAATCCTTGTGTGAAAGCTCATTGTTGACAGTTTTTTCTGATTTGAGGCCCAGTTATTCTCAAGCCAAAAAAGGGAACTTGCCTGAATAAAGCTGGTTTAGATGTCTGCTCTTCTGTGATCACTCTCTCTTTTCAATACCCCATATTAAGAATCTCTCTTTTCTTAAAGAAATTTCTTTCTCTCTCCTCCAGTGAAGATAAAACTGAGGGGGAAAATCATTAAATATCCATTTAATAATTTTAATTAAGGAAAGGATACTTGTTTAAAATCAGTCTTATTCTCTATATTCAAGGAAAGGGCCTAATAGATGGTAAGGGGCTCAATACATATTTGTTGAATGACTTTTGAACGAACCATACATTTCATATTTCATTATTTGATAGTTAATTGAAGGTTATAGGTATTGGCTTTGGAGTCAAACACACATGGTCAAAGCTGGTCCTTGCCACTCATCAGCTTCATGATCTTTCTGGAATGCACTTTTCTTGTCTGTAAATATTGTTCACTACCCAGAGGTACTGTGAGGAAGAGAGGCAATAATACACGAAAATATTAGCAGAAGGCATGTACTCAATAATTTTGGCTATGATTATTATTTCTAGTGCCTATTAAATCACCAGAACCTGAGCTCTCAAGAGACAGTAAATGGATACAACTACAACTGTTCAAACTTTTGTCTCTGCCCCAGGAGCACAGAATCAGGTACATGGTAACAATCACTCAATACCAGTGTATTGAATTTATAAATATATGTATATGTGTGCACGCGCATTGCATTTGTATGGCTGAAATCAATGCCTCATTCACTCATGGGTTGCAAATGAGTCAGTTCTGTGCATAGGATGAATGCTACCGAATAAAGTATATGGGAAATTCTGGGCCATGGCTACTGACCAAATTTGAACAGCTATTTAGCAAATGAAATGAGCCAGGCATGGGAGTGGGATTGACCATATTGCTTTTCCACTTCTGGAAAAGCAACTCTTCTATAAATGCTACTTTTAAAAGATGTAGTTGCAATTCAATATCTACATTCAAAGCAGTAGCCCTAATATGTATATAATGTAGTCAGTCTAGAAAAATAACATAATAACATCACAATTGGAAAAATAAAGGGAAAAAAAAGATTATTCGGGTCCCAAATACAAATATTACTGTGGTCATGTCTGTTCTAATCTCTGTTCTTGGTTAAATGATGCCCTGCATGATAGAAGCCAGTGTCTCAGCAACCTCGACTCTAAATAAGGCCCTACAAAATTTGCTCTATAAATACATTTGAAAAGTACTTTGAAATTCTTGCAGAGGAGTGATTTATTGTGATAAAGGCAATTCCTGTTCCATTTCTAGCATACTATCAAGTTCCTGTCTAGCCTTAGGCCTAATCAAATCACTTGTACATTTCTCTCTTTTAAATTTGTGTCACTTTGACATAAGTCTGTATCTCCTTAAGGGGAAATAAGTAAGGGGGGAAATGTAGGTAAGCATAAAGGAAGAAGGGGAGGAGGAAAAAGGGAAGAAGAGGCAGGAGTTGGATGTGAGAGAGCTCTGGGCTTGTTGTCAGAAGATCTGGATGCTACTCTGCTCCACCTGCAGACACGTGTGATTCTGGGTGAACCACTCAGCCTCCTGGTGCTTTTCCCTCATTTGCAAAGTTGGAGAGAGGTCAGTGAAGGTGGTTTATTAGATAATTTCTAAGTACATTTTGCTTTTTATTACCTTATGTAAGGAGGTGAACAAATTGAAGCCAGCAAGCCAAACCCTGTTGGCACCTGTTTCTGTACACCTGTGAAGTGAACGTGGCTTATACACTTTTAAATGGTTGAAGTAAAACAAGTCAAGAGAATTACATGTTGTGACACATGAAAATTATCTAAAATTGAAATTTTCATAGGTTTTCATATAAGTTTTATTGGTACATAGCCATAATCCTTTGTTTACATCTTACCTATGGCCTGTTTCATGCCAAGAGGGCAGAATTGAGTAGTTGCCAGAGACCTAAGGCCCACAAATCCAAAAATATTTACTACCTTTACAGGAAAAATTTGTCTATACCTGCTCAATGCATATTTAGTTTAGTTTACCTACTTATTTTGGGTTGACCCATCTCTTTGATATGAGGTGAGTGCTCATTAGGTATTTTTCAAAATGTCATTAATGTAATGCATAATCCATAAACTGCCCAGCTTCTTAAGAAGAGGCCTAACAGGACTCTGTTTGTTTTGTTCACAATTAGAATCCTAGTGTCTTACACAGTGCAGGCATACAGCAGGTGCTCCGTATTTGTTGTTGAATAAACATTTTAACACCAGTGCCAAGCCAATTTCAAAATTCCATAACGAATTTCTCAGCCAGTGCAAATTAGTTGCCTACTTTGGTAATACAGATTTTTAAAAGAATTTAAAAATCTTGTTTGCTGACCAAAATTCTCCCTGAAGACAAACAAAAGACAAACAAACAAAAAAACCCCACTAAATTTTAGGCATGCAATGAAAAGAGAATTTAAAAAAATTAGTATAGTTTTTCTGCCTAAATAAAGCATTTATATATATATTAAACACACACACACACACACACACACACACACACACGAAAAAAAAACAAAACACAAAAAAACCCACAACGGTTAAGATTGAAATGGCCTCAGCCTTTTACATCCGTGCGCCACGTTTTTAAAATGACGATTATTGGAACCCACGGCATGGCTGTCAGGACATTCTTCGTAATTTAAGCAGAGCGGCAAAAACTGCAAGCACGTATGCCGAGCAAAAGGGGGAAAGGTAAAATTTTGCACTCCTTGCAATGTGAACGCGTTGCATGCCGTGCTGCAGATTTACTACAGCTGAGTCATTTCGGGACACTAGTGTGTGTTTCCAGGAAAAAGGAGAGGCAGGAACCAGGCTGAGGGGCTCGCCGGGTTCCCCCAGGCACTCTCAGTAGCAGACACCGGTATCCCCGAGCAGGCGGCAGCGGCGTGGTCAAAAAAAAAAAAAAAAAAAAAAAAGGCGCCACGGCCCCTTTAAGAGGCACAGCACCTTCTCCAAGATACCATCTTGCACCAGGAGTTCACGTAAGCTCTCCACCTACCTTGCTACATCCCTCCTTAACTGGGTACGACTGGCCGGCGGGGCGAGCGAGCCTCCTCATTGGCTTTGCGTGCGCGGCCCTCTCGCTCTTATTGGCTCTCGCTCCCGCCACTCGGCCGCTGACGCCCGCCCTCCCGAGCCGTTGGGGTAGGTTGAGTGAGGGCTCTTGGGTTAGTTCCTGTTAGGCCCCGGCCGGGGGAGTAGGTTCAAGTCTCTGAAGATGCCCGGTGGGCTGGGGCACCGGGGGCTGTGAAGAAGGCGTGAGGGGGGCGACGAGGGGGAGACCGCGGCAGGCCCACACGAGAGCGGCGGCCGAGCCCGCCTTCCCTGCACCATGCTCATAGAGGATGTGGATGCCCTCAAGTCCTGGCTGGCCAAGTTACTGGAGCCGATGTGAGTGAGCCCGGCTGGGCCGGGGCCGGCGAACGTGGGCGTTGGGGGCCCGCGGGGCGCGGGGGGCGGGGAAGGGAGGCGGCGGGCGGGGGGCGCCGCGGAGGGGCCGCTGCCGGCAGGTCCCGGCGTCTCCTCTGTGGTGCTATCCCCATGGCGGGGGGGAGGGGAGGGGAGGGGAGGGAGAGCCGGGGGCACGGACACCGGGTGGCTGTGGGGCCTGATGGTAAGTGGGGCGAGGGCTTGTGGAGTCCTGAAGTCTTGGGGTGCTCCCGGGGCAGCAGGAACCGCGAGGGAAATGGGGAATATTGCTGTTGGAGAGCTGCGAGGCACAGCAGGGCTGTCGAGGGATTTTTTTTTTAAGTGTGGAGAGTGGCATCTTGAAGGGGGGAAGAGCAGGGTACTCAGGGCTTTACAAAAACAATATTGTTCCGGGACTGGAAGACCTGGGAGCAGTGAGGATCGGGGAGGGCCTCTTTTTTTTTTTCAAAACAGGGCAGAGAGGGAGGGGAGAGATGGGGAGGGATTTATTAGAGATTATCGATAGTCTCTTCAGAGTTCAGGATTAAGAAAGTATTTGGAAAACATGGGGTAGTTGAAAGGGAACTGTAGGCGTGGGAGTATTGGGGGGAATTATTGGGGAGCTGATAAAAGGGTTTTAAGGGGTTTCAGATATTATTGATGAGTTGATAGTACTAGGAGAACTGATGATGTTTAGATATCTTTGGGGCTTGGGGGGAAATGGAGGTTTAGACGTTTGATTGGGGTTTGTAAGGGCTGCCCTGCCACTTAGCCTTGGAGGAGGGGCTGGAAGAGGGGTGTACCTGCAGCATCTCGCGGTTTTTGGATACGGGGTACTGGAGGCACGGGACGGGCAGTAGAAAGCATGGGAGTTTTGTAAATATTGTTGAAAGATCGAGAGGGCAACTGAAGATCCTGAGGAGTAGGATTGTTGTTGAGGTGCTGAAAAGAATGAGGGGCTTGTTTCAAGATAATAAATATTGTGGGTAGTACTTGGGACCCATGAAAGGGAGAGCAAGAGGTATCAAGTTCTGGTTGGTTTTGTAACCATTTTGAAGGGGTAGGAGTGTGTGTATTTGGGACACAGAGGTTTACTTTCATAGCTGGCCTCTGAAGCACATCTCCTCGAGGGAAGGCTGAAGGGGGAGGATTGGAGAGGAATGCTATATTCCATTCACCCTCTTGGGAAAGAAGGCATGGACTGCTTATCTTCTTCCTATTGGAGGTGAGGACCTTGTGGCTGAATGAAAGGGGGTGGAGGAAGCGATGGGCAGGCTTTGCTTCATCGAGTCCCGTCATTTTAAGTGGAAAAATTGAGTGTTTCAGAGGTGGAAGAGAGGGGTATAGTTTGGGAAGTGTGGGGATAGGGTAGAGTTGGGGCTATTGAGAAAGCTGCTTCCCGGTTTATTTTTTGGCTCTCCTGAGAAATCTTAACTAACCTCTGTTGCTTTGCTGCTTTGGTTTTCTTGAGGTGAGGTTGGAACACCTAGGAAGAGTCCTCTGTAGTCCAGTGTGTCAGCCTTGTGAAGGCAGGATGTGTAAGGGAGGCAGGCGTAGGGGAATTTTGGTGTCTGAAGTGGTGTTTGCTTTCTGAAGATGAGGATGTGAGTACAGCACAGGAGTGAGTAAATGTACACCAAAGGCGTCTGAGCTGTACATTAGTGATGGTCAAGTTTTGTTGTTGTTCTGTTAACCCTCATCCAAGGATATTTTTCCATTGATTTTTAGAGAGAGTGGAAGGGAGGGGGAGAGAGACACAGAGAAGGAAACATTGATGTGAGAGAGACACATGATTGGTTGCCTCCCACACAAGCTTGGATCAGGGCTGGGGACTGAGCCTGCAACTGAGGTACCCTTAGGTCCCCAGGCCCATGCTCCATCCACTGAGCCAAACCGGCCAGGGCAGTGAGGTCTAGTAAAAGTGAAAATGACTTATTGATGTGCTTGAAGTTTGGTTGAAGAATGTGGGCCTCCTGGATGTGCATCATACTTTTTCTACAGTAAAAAGTTTTGGAGCACAGAAATGGAGATGGAGTGTGATAAAGGTGAGAAATAGTGAAATTGATTTAGTAAAATTGACCATATTTGGAAAAGGCTGAAAAAAAAAAAAGTCAGTGTTTAAAAATTCTTTACCTCTATGTTATTTAATGTTTAAGAAACCAAAAACGTATCTCCTGCTGTTTATGTTGCCGTGTGTGTGTGTGTGTGTGTGTGTGTGTGTGTGTGTGTGTAACAATGTTTCATGCAAGCTCTGATTTTGTTCGTTGGTAGAGATCATTTTTAAAGTATTAAATGTATTAAAAATTTTTTAACTTATTTTTATTGATTTCAGAGAGGAAGGGAAAGGGAGAGAAAGATAGAAACATCAATGATGAGAGAGAATCATTGATAGGCCACCTTTTGCACACCCCACTCTGGGGACCGAGCCCACAACTCAGGCACGTGCCCTTGACCAGAATCGAACTCGGGACCCTTCAGTCCACAGGTCGACTTTATCCACTGAATAAGTTTTAAATGTGTTTTATGTCTTGGGGGTAGAAGGTGACAGGTTTTAATATTATAGTTAGTTGTGTGTTGTTTTTTAAAGCTCCCTAAAATGTTTTCACTCTGGATAGCTTTTGGTTTTTTTTTGTGTTGTTTTTTTGTGTGTGTGTGTGTGTGTGTGGTGTGTTTTTTTTCTTAATGTCAAAATTTAGTTTGAGTAGAAAGTTAAATTTCATAAGGGTCTTTCACTAGGCTTTTGTGGCTGTTTATATTGGTAAGTTTGTAGATACTTAGTAATTTTCATTGGTAAAAATTACCTTTCAAAATGAATATTTGAGTTTAGTTTCCTCATTTTTTTTTTTTCCAGTTTATGCTCAATTTAAAGCATACATCAGCCTAAACAGGTTTGGCTCAGTGGTTAGAGTGGCACCCTGCGGACTGAAAAGTCCCAGGTTCGATTCCGGTCAAGGGCATGTACATTGGTTGTGGGCACATTCCCAGTAGGGGGTGCGCAAGAGGCAGCTGATCGATGATTCTCATTGATGTTTCTACCTCTCTATCCCTCTCTCTTCCTTTCTGTAAAAAAAAAAAAAAAAAAATCAATAAAATATATATATATATATATATATATATATATATTTTTAAACATATTTTATTGATTTTGTACAGAGAAGAAGGGAGAGAGATAGAGAGTTAGAAACATCGATGAGAGAGTCATCGATCAGCTGCCTCTTGCACACCCCCTACTGGGGATATGCCCGCAACCAAGGTACATGCCCTTGACCGGAATCGAACCCGGGACCTTTCAGTCCCCAAGCCGACGCTCTATCCATTGAGCCAAACCAGTCTCGGCAAAATATATATATTTTAAAAGAAAAACTACTTTGTTTTAAAAAAATAAAAAATAAAGCACACATCATGTTTCTATCTATTCGCTTTAATTTTTGTTACTTTTTTTAGGATTAAAAAAGATATAGAATTAGTACAACTTGGACTTAATAATATAGAGACATTCATAAAATTAGAAAATAAGAATACTTTTTTTTTTTTTGTATGTTTTTTTTATTTCAAGAATACTTATTTTTAATTCACAGAAGTAATGGTTTTGGATGGAAGCACTATGAAGAAATAAATATAGATATCACATGTATTTTTCATTCTTAGTATGTTGTTATGGGAGATTTTTTTTTTTGTTTGTTTAGACATCCTAAAATGTAATAAATGATATGCTAAAGAGGGATGTATTTGTAAATTTACTTTTTGCATATTCCATGGTTGATTGGCATGTTGCTACAACATAGCATTTCAGAGCAGTTAAGTTTTCAGACAAACGTAGTTGCAGTGGATATGTTGGAATGGTACCGTGTGGCACATGATTTCCCATTGCACTTTGTTGTTTAACTTAATTTCCAGTTAACTAAATTTCTGAGAGTTTTTGAATCTTTAGGGGTTTTTAAGCATATTACAGCTTATCACTGGTAAAACAAAGGCATGTAACGGGGTATTTCTAAACCAATCCAGTTTACATGTGATCATTCCCTGTAGACAAGTTAATAATATCATGTGTTGTTAAGTGCTCATCTGTTACCTTCCATGTCATCTCTATTGCCTTCCAAATAGAGATGTGGGGACATATCTATTATTTGTATTAGAGGAAAGACAGAAGGAGGGAGCCTGGAAGAAATGGCTCTTTAACTGGCTGGGAAAAACCCAGTACCATTTTTGTTGGCATTAGTAAAGGGGAGAAAAAGCATATTAGTCAAGAAGTTTCTATCTCTCTTACTACTGCTGCATGAACAGACTGAATTCACAGATCTTGTTTGGGGGCCTCATCTTTCTTCACTTGAAAAATATGCTAAATATCCTAGTCATAGAGGCTATGTAGGGATTATGCACAACTAGAAGGTGCCGTGGTTTCTTTCTATCAGAAATAACTTCATTTTAAGTATGGGAACCCCTTAAAAAGTAAGGTCCTAAGTGAATGTGAGGGATAAATGAGTCACTGAAGAAATTCCTGCAAGTTTAGAAAAAGTTCAGGCAAGCATTTTTCAATAACACACATTCCTACCAAAAATGTCATTAATGGGGAATGTTTTAAGTTACTTATATATTATACATTAAATATATAAAAACATACGCAGTTCACTACTGCTTGTTTGGCTTATTGTAAAGATTAATCTTTTTAAAAAAGGGTTTGAAATACTTTTTGGAGATTTATACCTATCCATCCATCCATCCATCCATCCAATCATCCATCCTAGTAGAACATCATTATGTGAATGAGGCCATTTAATTTCTAGTTTTTGTGTCTCCAATTCACTGAGGGACTTCGGAGAAATTGTCTGACCTTTTTCTGTTAAACAGAGTTAATTTTATTAGCCTTTTACCTACCTCACAAACATGGTTTGAATATTAATGATGCAGACTTAGTGCTTTGTGTACATCTGAATCATTAAATATAAATGAAATTTCATGGTTTTGAAATATGAAAATATGCT